GCTATGAACTTTGTTGTTGTTCTGGGATGCACTTTTTTACTCCCTTGCTCTCAACCGTCTTACAGCTTTTGATCCAAGAGCACTACAATCTCTGCTCTTGAGGCAGTCTCCACTGCTTTAGCGGCTGCCACTTTATGCTGATACTTATACAACATACCTGAGCAGCAGAGCTTCTGTGTAAGAAAAATTAAAGCAAAGCAAAACAACATCTAGAAATAATTCTTGTAAAGACTAGGAGATTTAAAAAAAAGTTAAGAATTTAATATACAGTCTTACATGAAAGAACAGTAAGCATTCTGAAGTTGAAGCAAGAAGCAGTTCCTTACATGTGCAAGTTACACTTGAAAAAGGCAGAGTTTCCCTGGAGGGAAGAGGACAAGGGCACGCAAAAATCTCAACTCCCTCTTTAAACCATCAGTAAGAAGAGCTGTAAGCTGCAGGCCAGTATCACAGCTTTTGTTTCATTAAGTACAATACCCACCCAACGCTATTTTACAGCGTTACTACAGAATTAAATCTGTGCACCATAAAACTAAAACTACAACTCCTACATACTTTGGTCTCTTTTGTAGACCCATGAAAACTATTTTAATACACTAAATCCAAATCACTCTCTTTTCACTCTTCTAAGTTGGTGACAAAACTGGTCAGACAAAACTAGTTCCTGGAACTGGAATTATTTGGTAAAAAGGCTCTGATGGAGATTTAACAATGTAACTCTATCACAATAGGATAGTAACCATTGCACAGTTTGAATAATTAATGTATTACTAGTGCTTAGAAGTATGGTATTTTTTTAAAAAATATCTGTGCTACTGAAAAATAAAATATTTCTTCCAATCACCATCAGCAAGCTCCTCTTTTAGCAAGAAATATGGATGCAAACTAAAAATTAGCAAAATACTACAGGAAAACAAGTTTCCTGATAAAGCTATCACAAAATTAGTATGCATATATATTGAGCTGTAACAGCAGATTTCAACTAACCAACTTTTAGAAAGCAAGGTAAAAACCCTAACCAACACAAAAGTTTTTATCAAAAACTTATCTACTGGAGATCACACAACTAGACTAATACATTATTTAGGTATCACTAGGCTGCCCATTATATTAACAATCAATGCAATCAAATTTTTAACATACAACATCACCATGAACAAGAATGCTTCAGGAAGATAAATCCCCACACAGAAAATATTTTTATCTTCTGTAACTAAACGGAGTAACCGGTAACTGCATTAAACTTGATTACAAGACGTTTTTCAAAAGTAGTCATACTGAAAAATCAAAGTTTAACAAGTTAGGGAAAAGATACAGTAAGAAACTTTAAACAGAAAAGCCTAATACTGCAGCCTTATGTGATAGGTTCCAATTCCAGTTGTCATTGCACTTACCATTTATGTCCTTCTTTTATACTGAACAGTAAAAAGGGATAGGATATAAGTGAAGGAAGCTTACTTTTCAAAGCTTTTAAGAAACAAAAATAAGGATTAGAAACAATTATTATTTTCCTTCTAAATACATGGTTGGCAGACTTTCGTATGTTATAAGGATTATGCCAAAAGAGTATCAAGACCTGACATGGTAAAAAACTATCCACCAGTATCATAAAAGGCAATCTTCACCAAGAGGCAACTTTTGAACTCTTCAAACAGAGTAACTTTTTTTCAGTGTATGTACAACAGTAATCTGAGACTAGAAGTAACTACCAGATGGAATCTGTTCACAGGAAACAAGTATTAGTAAGAATAAATAAAAAAATTTAGTTTTGTAAGAAATTCTACTAAAATGAAAAAAGATTTGATGTATCGTTTTGCAGTCTCCAGAAATGGTTTACAATTCTTCTCTGCTGCAAAATTCAAAGGCTTTTTCACACTCCCATTCACACTATAGAACTTAAGTACAGTTATCTAAAGACATCATAATGAACGCCTATAAAATGATAGGCCATGCTTAGTTACATAGCTGCCCTTATTAGAAACAGTTGCTAAAGAAAGTAAATACATCACTTCCAATTTTGTTTCAGTTCTTCCTCTTTTAAACTTCAAAGGACATTTGAAGTAAAACATAAGTCAACACATGACCAGACTACTAAAGAATAGTCTGAAGACTAGAGAAAACATTTTCTTGAATTATTGTATATGCCACTTCAACTTTGCATGACAGTAAAAAAACAACACCTGTACTATATATTCCTTTATATAACTTCTAACACTTTTGGTAGGGTTGTCACTGCACAGCTACATCTATATATTCTTGAAGTGTATTTATTAGTTCCAGATGAACACAAAATTCCAGTAATACAACTCAGTGGGAAAGCTACACTCTTCCAAAGCATTCTTGCACCTTCACCTTTCCCCCCGCAAAAATTTCATCGTATAGAAGTTGCAGAAATTGTGCATAGTGATTGAAGTGCTTTCCATTTGAACCATTCCTCTTCCCTTCTTACATTTTTGCCATGTCCAGCACACCAACTTGCATAGTTTCTATTCACACAGACTTCAGAATTTAAAGATGCAGATAAGCACGAGGATGGCCAAACTGTGGCAAGCAATTCAAGCACAGCGGCTAAGTAACATTATCTCAAGACAGCTGCAAGAAGAAAACCAGCAGAAGTTGCTAGTTTTCCCAGCACCCCAAGCTGCAGAGTATAGGCCACAACCTCCTAACAGCAATGGACTCTGAGGGAGCTACTGCCATCTCAAGTCTGTGGGTTGGCTCCCCAGCTTCCTCTTCCTGCAGCGAGTAGCATGGGTCTCACAGATCAGCCACAGGAGGGTTTTGACAGGTAGCTTATAGGGTCAGAAAGTCAGGCCACCCCAAAAGATGCTACGTGAAGATATTAAGGTGAAGTGAAATTTCCTATTTGGCACTCCAGAATTCACAATAAGTGCTATTTCTAAATTACATCAGACAATTGTTACGTGCTATTTCACAAAGTATGTTTAATAGTATGTGGGAATACACTAAAGGACATTATGACTTTTGAATTCTTGATCTTCGTCAACCCAAAGAAGAGACATGCTGAAAGCAGTTTTGTTTTACAGTGTGAGCACATATTGATATAAATGATTGTTTGTTTTCTGGTGCAAGTTTCTCAAAACACAATCAGCAAAATGAACTGATAGCTGTTAGTAACATCAAAGGAACAATTTTGCTTCCTCCCCATCTTTACTAAAAACACTAAGGGGCAGAGAATAGGAAAAAAGATGTCCTGCTGAGAACAGCAAATCTTTCATTTTCCAACTTCTCTTAGGATGTCTCAGAACGTACATAATATATTCTTTTCAACCCTACAGAAAATGGTATGGTATAGAATGTAAAATAGGTATTTCTTCCACAAAACAAGAAAGTAGCTGGGAAACCAGCAGTTTATTTTTGATTTATGTATCAAGCTGTACCTGTAAAGGGGAGCAAACTTCCCTCCTGCAGACTACAGTTACTGTAATAATGTGAAAGAGTATTGTGTGGACCTCTTATTCGTTGCTTCCTCACTAAAAATAACTGTACCAGTAAAAGGTCTCCTTCTCACATGAAACTAAAGCATTCACAATACAGGTTGCATTCATTTAACTGCTTTGGTTGGTAGGGGAAAAAAAAAATCATACCCTTGACCAAAATAGATCATCATGAAAATTTAGAAGCTGACTCCTCTGATAACACCATTTTGCTAGTCCTGCAGGATGAGTCTTCAGAGGCAGAACACACCTAAATTACTAATATAAATAATGTAGAAATTATAGCAGAGGACCATTTTTTTTTCCACCTTTATAATCTTTCGGTCTCCTGTAATAAAGATTTTGAGGTTTTCCTCATCTAGTTTTACAGCAGGGTCAAAGCGGAGAGTGACTTTAGGCTCCATATGAAGTTAACACTGCCCATTTTGTTTCCGAAGTATATTATTCTTAGTAAGTTAAGCATAAACCAAAACAAGCAGTTCAAACAAGCTTAACAGCCTGAACTGGTTTAAAATTTAAACCGTCAGTCAAACTAGGACACCTTCTTATGGGAACATCATTTCTTCCCATGACCTCGCACTTAGAAAAATTCTATTATTTTATTGGAAAAATTAATTTCCTGAATAAAAAAGGCAAATTATTATCTGAACACTTTCACTTAACTGAAATGCTACATCGCCAGCTTGTAGGAAAAATAACAGTGATGCCATCGTACAAGAGAATAACTGCACTACTAAATCTGTACCACTCCACTCATGAGAACGATGGAATACTGAAGGAAAAACAGTAAACAAGAAGGCAGCAGCTCAATAGCTAGTATATAAAAATCTTAATTAAAAAAAATTCTTTTACAATTTGGACTTTCATCACAGAATTTTACTTACATTGTCCATGAAATTTGGCTTAAATCCTCCCTCCTGCTGTCGTCTTAATTCCTCCTGTTCCCTCTGACGTAGCATCTCTTCTTCACGACGTCGGTGTTCTTCTTCATGTCTAGAATATTTTTCAAAAACTATGTCAACTTAGACTCTTGACCTGTTCAGGCTTGTACTCAGTCTCAGGAGATAAGGTCATGCATATAAACAAAATTGGTCATTATTTAATTTTTTCTATAGTGTAAGGCATTGATCTACTCCACCTGATGGGCCTGAATATTACTGAAGTCTGTTGGGGTTTTTTGTGGGGTTTTTTGTTTGTTTGTTTTTTTAAAACTGGACTACAGGTAATTACAATACCAGTACATTCTGTACCTGTTCTTCCAGCTGCATATGGGTATACAGGTTAAAATACTCCAGTTTTTAACAAGTCACACTGGATTAAAACATTTCAATACTACCAAAAGACGCATTTTTAACTCAAGGTGTTTGCATTTTGTTCTTTTTTCTCATCTACATTTCTTGTAATATTTAACATAAGAAGTATAAACTCAATCAACATGATGATACTATGACTGTTTTCTTAAATTTTAAGAGGCATGAAAGCAAATATTTGTATGAATCAGATAAAGAAAAAATTGTTTGCAACATACCAGAACATCAAGTGAAAATACCCCCCAAAGTTTCATGTCAGACTACACATTTACAGTGCTATTCCACATGCAGATCACCTGCCCATAAATCTTAGAAGCATGTTCGTAGCTATTACAGCTATGCTTCAGTCACAAGGTTAAAATAAATCATATGAAACAAAGATTTGTGTTAAGACATTTCTACACTACTTAGAAAACTCAGAAATTCACAACAGAACTAGTAGAGCTGAAAAATGAAAAAATTCAAGAAATACTTGAAACCATTTTCTTTTATACTAGCATAAGCGATCACTTTTCTGTTCAAGAACATTAACAGAAACATCACGCATGCTTTTGAAAAGCAGCTTTTTAGCAGCAGAAACATTTTTATTTTATGTCATTTTATTTTATGTCAAAAGCAAGCTCTACAAGCTAGAGTATCTAAATTCAAGCAGGCCTACAGCAGCTGCATGCCACACCTTTGCACAGTAGAAGACAAAATACCTCAATTGTATCTGCTTGCGTTTTTGAAGTTCTTGATTTCGAAGTTCTTCCAAACGCCTCAATTCTTCTTGACGTCGCATGAGATCTAACAGGATTAAAAATGTAATACATAAAAGCTGTCAATCAGCAATGTGGCAACACAAAAAATTACTATTACTGTCACATTACAGTTCTAATTCAATTTTTAAAGAATTTTCTCAACACATTTAACTAGTTTCTTCCCATAAAGCTAAGTCTAGTATATGAAAAAACACGCTGGATCCACAGCTCACAGAAACACAGAAAGCTACAGGACTGGCAAAGCCTCTGAAGCAGGTTATGGAAACAGAAATCTGAAGTCCTCAAAAAAAGAAAAGGAGGAAAGAACTCTCAATCACTTAAATCACATCCCAGTTTTACATCTAGGGCAAGGCATCAGTTCTCCCACAGTGCTGTGTACTGCTAAATTCACACTAGCAAGAAACCTAGTACGATATATATGGGCTTATACTCTCTACTACCTATTGCAGACCACCGCATGGCACACATCAGAAAAAAGCGATATGAACTTCAGATGCATGTAATCTGAGCCTCCACAGAGATTTATGACATGACTCTGCTTACAGTGATTTACAAATGATTAATCTTTAACACTACCAGAAAGGAACAGACATATCCTCTTAAAAAGCAGGGCTAATTACTAATAGTAATTACTTTTGCTGTACTTCTGACCAGTCACATTACTGATTTCTGCCTGGAAGTTTATGCTTTCTTCAATGAATATTAATTCCACCTTTTGTTAGAAAGCATTTGTTTGCCTTTTCTATCTTCATAGGACATTGGGCACATGACATTATTTACAGACACCATGAGGAACATTCCACTATACCACCCATTATATGCCTTTTATGCTTCAGTTCAACTACCCCACACATTTCTCTCTGCATTTCTTCACTATTCTAATTAAAACATCTTTTTAGCACTTTCCTCAGCCTTGTATCAGCATATATTATTACCACTTAACCTTTTACTTTAATATTCAAAACCAACTATAATGACCAGTACTTTTCACCAAAATATCATGTATTTGTTTTCTAACGAAGATTATCAGATTTTTACTCTCATAGCATCCTTACTAACATCGGAAGTCCTTTCTCAAGCACATTTTGCAGGCCTGATTTTCCAATCTCTTCTGCAAAATTAATACGTTTCACACTTCAACAGAATATGATTATTACATTGAAGAGTCACTCAAGTCACAAAGTCTGAGGGCTGCTTCTTTCCAACAGTGCTTGCCATAGCAAACTTGGCCACTGTCATCCTGATAGTCAGGAAGTGCCACAAGCACACCCTTTTTTTTTTTAAATAACCTTTAGATTATTTCAGAGTACAAGTGCACTTTTTTCTTTTAAAATTAACCTTCAGGTTGCTTCAGAGTATTATTGAGATCAAGAACTAGCCTATTCTATGCTCAATGTTGTCCACTGTTGGAGAAGTTTCCTTGTCAGTTCTTTGTTCTTTCAAATTTACGTAGCATTCCGTTTTTCTTGTGTTAATACACTGGCACAGGATTTCCTACTTTCTCTCTACCACTAATTGCTACAAATGTATCATTTACTCTCCTTTATTCTTAAGGTGTAGAGTCCTACTTTTCCCAGTGTCCCCTTAATTTTTTTCCACAGCATAGTTCCAATTACTGCCTTTCCTGAAATTGTTAGCATTTCAAAGTTCAACATACCAATTTATGATCCAGTACCATTTGACAATGGCAGAATATTTGGCACAAAGCCTTACTAGCCAGGTGAAAAATATAGATCTAGAAGTTCAGGCTGCACACAGAGCCATTCATATTAAAAGATCTGCAATGACGGTAATTCTGGACTGACGTATGTTGGACACAGGCCCTTTCTCTGAGTAGAAAAAACCTGCACTAAAGCAGGTGTGAAAGAAAAAGACAGAAAGCAGTATTAGCTTCTGCACTTTCTTGTGCTTAAAAAAGGGCCAGGTCTTCATTTTATCCTCAACCTTCTGCAGAGAGGGCAGAAGGTCAAAGTGTACTCTCACCTCAGAAGCTGATCCTACAAAGCAGGAATACCAAGTCCAAAAAGATTTTAAAGTTGTTTTAAGCTGCTGAATTTTCAGGTTCTAAAAATGGAGAATAAATGCCCAGCTTCCATACAAGTGATAAAGAATGAAGCTTCTCATTAAATTCAGTCACGTTTTCCGCTATTTTCATAATTTATTTAACCGCCATTATGAGGGAATATTTACAGAAGTCTGAAGCATACCACCAATATGTAGATCAGAAACATCATGCCAATTTACTTACACATGGAAACACGTATTCTGCTTTACAAATTACTCCTGACTCAATCTGTCAAAACATGACACTTAGAAGTGAAAAATTACACACACCAAAAGCATGAAGTCTACCGTCAGTATTAATATCACACCATGAAAACCTGAGTACTTGAACATGTTGGCTTAAGTCCTACTAGCTCTCATAAAGCAATTTCTATAAAACCTTCACTTGCAGGAGTATAGGGACTCTAGTAAGCTCATCCCTCCTATCTTTTTAGCTCCTGACAATTAATATACTATATTTCATATTTCAGAATTACTATTTCAATACACCTTTAAATCTCTGGTTTGTGTATGAGGTATACAAAACTATTAATTCTAGGTTTGGATACCTCAAAAGTTTCATTGCATGTTTCTTAAAAACCCTGCAATGCAATCTCATTAACATAATTAATATTGTTGGCATGGTCTGAACTTATACCCAGAGACACTGTTCAGACCAGCAAGATTTAGAAGCAGCTAATACCTGAAGATAAATACAAGAGAAAAAACCACCTTATGTTCATACACACTGAAGCTGGAGTTGGTGAGATTGAAACAGAAAGAATGTTTACTAACCCCTAGAGTTTGGCAAATTAAATATCTGCAGGTGCACAAGCAGAAATCTAATAATCTGAAGAAGATTCCAAGTTATTTGGTACCGAAGAGAAGTACTCTGTTAACCAAATGGTGAAGGAAAAAACCCTCTTCCCACACTAACAAAAAGCATGTTTCCTCACTGGAATATTAGCACGAAAAGCATTCATTCATATTCTACTGGCTCTGTAATGGAAGGAGTAATTATCTTCCTTTTCCATATAAAAGTGGAGCTTAATAGACACTAAAGAAAGGAGTATTTTTTCCTTCACAGTGTCCTTAGAAGAATCCATAATATCTACAAAACATACCTAAGCTGTTCTCCCACGTTTTAGCATCAAGACCTTTCCTATCTTAATAAACAGGCCACTGTCGTCTTGTCTCAGTTTAAAATATGACTAAGGCATGACAATTTAGGAGAAAGTAACCCCTAACATTGCCATGAAGTACAGACAGCAGGTGGATAAATTCTCATAAAAAATAGAGTGTAAGTTCTAGAATTAGATCATTAGCACTGTCAAATATTAACAATCACTTAATGGTAAATTTATCCAACCTGTATTTTCAGCACTAAATCATCTTTACCAATATCAAAGTCACACATACACACAAAATTAAAAATATGTGTCCAACTGAAAAGGGGGGGCTGCACTGTGTATGATAGCCATTGTTAGGTGTCAAAATTAGGTCGGCCTATGCCCTGTGTCAAAACTGCTTCTATAAAGAGAAAAAAGACAGGTCATTGTCATAGGAGACTCGCTTCTGAAGGGAACAGAAGGCCCAGTATGCAGACTGGACCCACTTCTTAGGGAAGTCTGCTGCCTCCCTGGGGCCCGGGTTAAAGATCTGAAGAGAAAGCTTCCTACCCTGGTACAGCCTTCAGACTACTATCCATTATTGATTTTTCAGGTTGGCAGCGATGAAGTTGCAACTAGAAGTACAAGGGCAATCAAGGGAGACTTCAGGGCCTTAGGATGACTGGGTAAGGGATCAGCAGCACAAGTAGTGTTTTCCTCTATCCTTCCAGTTGCAGGGAATGATGAGGGAAGAAACAGGAAGAGCCAGCAGATCAGTACCTGGCTCTGAGCCTGGTGTCACTAGCAGAATTTTGGTTTTTTTGATCATGGGTTTCTTTACATGACACCAGACCTGCTGGCAACAGACGGGGTACACCTGTCTCAAAGGGGGCAAAGGATCTTTGCACAGGAGTTAGCAGGGCTCATTGAAAGAGCTTTAAAATAGATTTGAAGGGGGAAAGGGATAAGACCGAGCTCGACAGAGATAAGCCAGGGGGTGGCATGCCAGTGTTTGAGGGACGGTGTGCTAGCGACGTCTTTTGGTCTGCCATCTCAGCAGAGGTAGGGGATGGAGATCTGTGCGGCAGCAAAGATGCAAGGGTTATTGACAAAACTTGGAAGTGCCTGAGAATGGTCAAGCAGGAATTAGGGCTTCCCCCCGCCCCCAAAAAAGGTGGCAGGATAAACAGCCCAACTGAAATGCATCTACACCAACACACGCAGCATGGGCAACAAACAGGAAGGGCTGGAAGCCATTCTGCAACAGGAAAACTGTGATATAGTTGCCATCAGGGAAACATGGTGGGATGACTCACACAACTGGAGTGCTGCAATGGATGGCTATGACCTTTTCAGAAGGGATAGGCAAGGAAGGAGAAGCAGTAGGGAGCCCTGTATGTTAGGGAGAGTTTTGACTGTCTGGAGCTTAATGATGGTGACGATGGGGTTGAGTGTTTATGGGTAAGAATCAGGGGGAAGGCCAACAAGGCAGATACCATGGTGGGAGTCCTGTAGACCACCCAACCAGGATGAAGAGGCAGACAAAGCAGCTGGGAGAAGTCTCACAATTGCTAGCTCTTGTTTTTGTGGGGGACTTCAACTTACCAGATGTCTGCTGGAAACACAATACAGCAGAGAGGAAACAGCCTAGGAGGTTCCTGGAGTGTGTGGAAGATAACTTCCTGACACAGCTGGTGAGTGAGCCAACTAGGGCAGGTGCCCCACTGGACCTGTTGTTTGTGAACAGAGAAGGACTTGTGGGTGATGTGAGGGCTGGAGGCCATCTTGGGCATAGCAATCGCAAACTGATACAGTTTTCAATTCTTGGAGAAGTAAGGAGTGGGGTCAGCAGAACTGCCACCTTGGACTTCTGGAGGGC